CTGTTAGTTGTTGTAGACTAAGTGATGGGCAAATACCTAGAAACAGATGGACAATAGTGATGATGGAGGGTGTCAATTTCCCATAATGAACTTCCTATTGAAACAAAAGACATCAATACATGGAACCTTGATAAAGTAATTTCCATCAATCAAATATAAAGACAACCATGAATGAATTAACAAGCCCTTCTTAAGCTTTGGTGCTAGATACAACCTACACCAAGTATTAAAACATAGACATCTACACCCTTGAAAATGCAATGCTGAGCAACATTTTTCTCCCAAAGAACTTAGAGATAGCCATCTGGAGTCGTTTCTTTTGTGAAAAGTATCAATATCAATTTCAAAAGTGGTGGGGTGTATTCAAATCCAAATCTCAGGACATTTTGTAACTCACCGCAAACATATACATCTGTGTACCATAATGTAACAATAAAGAAAGTATAATCCAGGGAAGAAGTTTTGAATTAGACACCAAATTGTGGCCTCATATGACATGTAGGCCTACATAGTTCCTACGCGAGGATGTGTCCTTAGCTATCCAAACCGATTTAATATAAGAAATTGAAGATAACATTAATGCCTAAAAGGAATCACCTACAAAATATGCATTTCTACTTGGCAAGAGAAAACTATAATAGTATCAAAAGATTCATTCTCTCAAAGCAGTACATCAACTACAAAGATAACCAGTGGGCAACTAGATACAACAACAGTAAAATATTGAACCTCAAATACAGGAGAAAAATCTCCGTAATTTGTTTATGTAATATACTGTGAATCTTGCCCTATATGAAGTAGTCTTGATTTGATTTTTACTTTTAAAAATGCAAAAATAGAATCTTTGACATTGCATTTTTTAAAGATTAAAATCTGACAATGTTTCAAAAACAAGCAATGAATTTTAGTAAAACTTGCAATGTAATTTTTTAAAAAAAATAATAAATCCCCTTGTGGTTTTGGGTAGCAACAAATCAAGAAAGTGTGCTTTTCACCCCTTGTGGTTAAAATGTTGATAAATGATACATAAAACAATCCAATTAAACCTACATTAGTATTATCTAGCCAAAAAACACCTACATTACTGTTTGCATATAGTAGATATATGCAAAAGGAGACATTGGTGAAGAGTAAGAAATTGGTGAAGAGATTTACTCATGGCATTGGATTTTATAGGATTCTTTTCCTCATTATTGAAATGATCAACACCAGGATTTTTGTTGTCTGTGCCAGTTTCACATTCTTCTGCTTTGTGAACAATTACATCAGCTTTTGAATCTTCTTTTGCACTTTCATCACCATCATCCTACACATGTACCAAATGTTTCATTATCCATACAGAGTAACTGAATGAAAACATCTCTTTCTAAGTTTAGAAGGATTATAAGTCATCGACAATCTCCTTTCCATTTAAGATTCCAAAGAGAAGAGTTGAAGGAATTTAAGGGAAAATGTTAATTTTGTTAGCTTTGTAAAAATTGTAATAAATTCTTAGAAGGGTAATTCTTTTTTTTTTTCTCTCTCTCAATTGAAAAGCCAACAAAATAAGGTCTCGTAAGGCAATACGTAGGATATTTGCAATAGAAATAGTCTGGGACAGGAGTAATTAAAAAATAATAATAAAATTGTGTTGATACCTGATGGACCAAACAGTTGACTAACGGATGCCTACGTAACAAGTTGTGAATCAAAGCTATAATAGCCAATGATCCTGAAGGAGGAAATGAAAGTGCTATTCTACTTAGTTTCTTAGCAAAGGCAGCAGCCAAATATACCGGAAGAAGTGGTGACTTCAAGCAAGAATCAAGAAGCTACAGGAAAAACAAATAAAATAAAATAAAATAAAATAAACAAACATTAAAAGATAAACACTGCAAATATTTAGTAAAGAGTAATAGTGGTACTTGTTACTTATTTGGATATCCTAAAAATTCATATAACCACTAAAATAAACAACGATCTGAATTGTCGAAAATCAATCATGAATCATGGGATGCCATGGAATTAAATTAGAATTGAATGTTTAAAAATCATTTAATATGGTTGTCAAAATCACAATTCTACCTAGAATCAGAAGGGTAAGATAAGATTGTAAAACATAAGGCTGTAACTCAGGCTGTAAAATTAAACCTCAATACCACTTTTATATTCTTTTGATTGGTATAATATTATATACATATAAACTATATAAATCACTTGAGATTGAAATTAAATAAGTTAAAAATTAAAAATTAAAATAGAATAATATTCACAGGATGACTTTGACATTAAAAAATAAAGTACATACTAATATACTTAATAATTTTGTCACAAAACAACAAATGGCTCCAAAAGATACAAACATCTCAAGGGTAATTAAGTAGAAGAAAGTATGCTCTAGCTAGGGTAATTAAGTAGAAGAAAGTATAGTCTAGCTAGGGTAATTAAGTAGAAGTATAATCTAGCACAAGATAGTTGAAGTTTTTGGTTAACAGTAAAGAAGGTCAAGAATTACAGCTACAGAACACTAGAGGAGATAAGTATGTCACCTTCATAAAAGAAAATGATTTCACCAAACAAGTTGGATTTGGGGTCTCATGTAACAAGTTAGGTTCGCATTTTGAGGATTTCATTAGTCTCATGAGTTTTTCTAATAAAAAAAATTTAGAGAAATCATTTGGCATGTAGTTTCCCATAATTACCAAACTCATGAAAATCGCATGAGTTTATCGTTCCCAAGATTAAAGTTGCAATTCTTGGGCAATCCCAACACCAGCCTGTTCCAACATAAGATCCAACTCAAATCCAACTCCTTTTACTCATCAAAGATCATATAATCATATGAATCAAGTTTTTAACTAAATGATTTAACATGTTGTATGGCCAAACATAATGTTTTTTGATTGGCCCAAATCATAATTAAATTTAGTTACATAGTTGACAGCCTAGTTTGGTTTGGTTGTTTATGTCATTCTTGAAATCATCAGATAAACAGATGTACCAAAAATATAAAAGGCTAAAAGAAATTAAGCACTTTCAATCAACCATAAAATCTTTCTAAGAGTATACTTTGGAAAGCTGGATGATGCAAAATTTAAGTAATAAGCAATTCAATAGTGGGTGCTACCTGAAAAAATTTGCCCTGTGTTTAGCCATAAAGATTGAAGGGGCAAGAAGTGCATAAAGCTTTTCATAAAAGTTTGGATACTCAAAACCATATTGCACCATTAGGACAAAAAGGCTGCTAAGTGCCATAACACTTACAATACCACCGATATCATACGATCTTGTTAAAAAGTCACTGCACATTTATGTTAATAAATGAAACTAAAGTCACCAAATACAGTAAAGTACACCTTATCCATGACTACACAGGTTGCTATAAGCATTACCACAACATGATGGGATTAGACAAATAAGAAATTACTAGACCTAGCGAACGGTCGAGTTGGGTTGGGTTAGAGTCTGGTCAGAATGGGTAATGAGTCAAAACAGGTTGGGTTAAAATGGGTTACGGGTCAATGAAGGTAGACCCTAACCCACCCATCACGGATCACCTGCGGGTTGACCCAACTAAATTTTTTTTCTTTTTTTTTTCTCTATAATTTGTACCTATTATCATTTAAAGAAAATTATGCAAAAGATTTCAAAAAAAAATTCAACATCTTATAAAAAGAATTTTTTTCTCATTAATTTAATGTATACATATTTATAGTTCTTTAGAATCATCTTCTCCACTCCCCTTCAAAGAACAACGTTAATCAAATTCAAAAACACCACACACTTATAGATCTCAATAGTAAAAAAAAAAAAAAAACCAATAACAGTAGTAGCATAACAACCGAAAAACACAAACTCTATTGGAACATATTTGTTCTGGTCGTTGCTTGCAAAGAATCAATCAATTGAATGCATCTAAGTAAATGACAAGATCAAGTAGAATTTTTACTTGGAATGGAGAGAAAACTAAAAAGCATAAATAAGTAAATAACTTACCTTGAGGGCTTTAAAGAGAAAAGTTGGTGACAAAGAGAGCACTTGTCAAACTCGAAGGAGAAAGAAAGAAAGGACTAAGTGGACACGATGGTGATTTGATGAGACTAAGATCTAAGTCTAAGATAATGTTAAAGACTAAAGAGAAAAGGTTGGAGTTGAAGCTTGAAAACCAAAGGCTGTATGTACTATGGAGGTTGAAGAATATGAGAAGAGTTTGAACTTTGAAGAGTTAGAGTCTTAGAGAGTATTAGGGCAAGCAAGAATAGGAAGGGTCGGGATGAGTCATAAGTGAAGTGGGATTATTTTTACTTCTATAAGATGATGAGTTAAGAGAATCAATTAGCTAATTAGAGAAAATTAGTCAATTATTAGAGGTTTAAGTGGGATTGGAAATTGAAAAACAAAATAAATAAATAATAAACTAAAAATTTTTAAATTTTTAGATGGATAAATGGGTTAAACTCGTTAACCTAATAGGTCAACCAGTTATTGACCCTTGACCCGTTAGGTTCTCTTAATGGGTCATTAACGAGTTGCGGGTTATAAATATATGACCCTAACCCATTTTAAACGGGTAGGTAATGGGGGGGCTTAACGGGTTGGGTAAAAAATTGCCAGGTCTAAGAATTATAGACTAATGGAGAGTAACAAGAACTTGAAATTTAATAGGCAGTTAGACATGAATAAGAATTAAACACAAGACAGTCCATATCTAGCATGTTGCATCAATGGAGAGAATATGAGAAGACAACTATCCAAAAAAATAAAGCTAATTACAGATGCAAAAATCAAGAATTAGCTCCTAATGAAGCCTAATGGCAAATTCAAATTGCTTACTAGGGCACTTGGTTAAATAGAATACAAGAATGTCAAACTCACCTCCTTGTATACACCAATAGGAAGCGTGTCACACCCCAGAACCCAAATCCGAGGCACGACAGACGCCGTGCACTCGTGAGATGGTCTCACAAATGCATAAGGCTCGGAACTTAATCATATCACAATTTGATACCACTCCATAACTTAAATCAAACATCTCAATTTATTTCTATATCCAAAATGACTTAAATCCAAGTAATTGATCTAATGACCAAAATCTGTTGAGCTCATAAATTCAAGGTAAAATCTATCTTACAAAAGCATGATTTATTTCTAAAATCTATATCAATCTCGAAATGGCTAGCCTTTTAACTCGTCACTTCCCGTGGTTTCCCCATCCTCGGTTTCGCTTCCTGAAATGGTGGACAAGGAAAAACTATGAGATAAACTCAGTAAGTAAAATATGGAGTGCCCCTTATTAAACTTATAGCATGCCAACAAGTGTAATCGCGAAAAACGAATACAGTACGGGAACAAAATAAACGTTTTCTCTATAGGTCATGGCCAGTGTTATAAACCTCCCACTAGCAGGCACACTATTTGTTGGTGTATAATCCCCACTAACAGGGTCACTCGTACGAACCGGCTCTATCACTAACATCTCGACATGTGCTAGAGTTTAACCCCCACTAGCAGGGTCACTAATAACATGACCACATCGGAAACAAAATAGGCTGAAATTAACAGAAAAATCATAATTCACCAATCACTTCCAAATCATCAGGACAATCAATTAAATTTTAAGTAGGCATGCTCAATTTAATAAAAGCATAAAAATTTTACTTCAAATCAGTCATACTTTGTATAAAACGGGTTTAGTCCCACCACCACTTCAAAAATAAGTCAAAACATGCTTTTAAAAACTGTACGGACATTACCATAAATTTACTTACCTCAAATCACATAAAACCGAAAACTCGATCTCGGTGCTAAACTGACAAAATGATCCGGAACCTAATCAAAATATTCTACAATTAATACCGCACTACCACAAATTCAAATTGAAATCATCATTAGAATCACCCCTAATCACAATGCTATTTCTATTAGTCTCCACATGATCAAATATCTCCAAATTTATTCTTATATTACAAACTAATCATTTAATCCCCGTTAATTGTTGGCCATCAGTGCGTGAACAGTACCTGTAAACAGTAACCAATATTTCCAGAATTCAACTATAGCCAGCTAAAAGACCAAAAAAATGGATATTTCATCAGATTTTTCAGAGCAAAAACAGACTAAAAAGGAGCAGAAAACAGTAGCAAATTGCAGAATTTTCTGCGTGAACAGTAACTGGTACGTGTGAACAGTACCTGCACTTTCCAAAATTGACAAAACCATAGCTAATCTCACGGGATTTTCTTTCCAAAAATCACAGCAGCCAATTCAAGTAATTTTCACATAATTTAAACAACAAAACACATTTAAAGGGCTGCCAAATTCATCCCCTATCCCAACAGATTTCGGACAACACAGGGCAACTAAATAGACAACAATTAATTGATAAATTCAGACTTGAGAGGGCTGCCCAGACCAGAATTTCCCAGCAAAAATCGGACTGCAGTTTGGGGAGGAGCCGGCGGGAAGTGCAAGGGACTCACGGGCTACCAAAATTGAGAGGAACCAAGAAATTAAGATAAACCCAAGCCAAATCAAGTGAGAAGAGAAGGATTAGTGGCTGTTCTTACCGTAAAAATCAGAGAAATTCATACCCCTAAGCAAGAGCAACCGACGGAAGGACAGAGCAAAGCAGAGCAGATCCGAATTTCTGCAGAAAGGGGGGGTGGGGGAATTCCAAGCTTAAATCTGGTTATTGAACAAGAAAGTAAGGGGAAAATCCAAGCTTCTTACCGGTTTTTCCCAAGGGAAAGGGAGTCGGTGGCTGGGGGGCTTGGGGGCTGTCGGGAAGAAGAAGAATGAGCAGATGCGCGGGTGAGGAAGAAAAAAGAAGGAAAAAAATGCCAACCGATCCTTATCCAAAATCTTCCCTCTTTAAGTCCCTCAAGTTTGGACATTTTGCTATTAAGCCCAAAACAATATTTTCTCACAATCAAGTCCTTAACTTAAATGATGAAATTCTTGAAAATTTGGGATATTACAAAGCGGTAGTCTAAGAAATTTGATCCATGCTTTGGTAAATTTCAATTTCATCCTCTTCGCAATGGTGGCTGCAGATAGGACCTAAACACATTTTAACCATAAAGTGGGGGAAAGTCAATCCTACTGAATATTGACTAAATATATATCTAATAGTCTAATACATGTACGAAATATATATATACCATTTTAGTGGATATCATGGCATCTACAAAGTTCATGATTAATGACTTACATTGTTAACATAATTGGCAATCTTGTATTGTTTACTAGCTGTTGGGAGCTCAGCATCCTCCATATCATCGTTTCCCTCTTTAACTTAAAATCTTATGTAATGAAAATAAAAGGAAATCATGAATCACAGATGTACTAAATACAAAATAAATTAATTGCACTATTAAATAGGGCAAGGAAATCACTTAAAAAACATAAGCTCTTCATACCCTCAAGCACAATACAAATTATGCAAGGCAAGTTCACATAAAACAAACCAAAGTTCTTTTCATCTTACTACAGTTACATTGAAATAATAAAAGTACCCCATAATCTTGTAGTGCAAGCACATGAAGAACAGACAAGGATCAACCAATTAACATAAAAAAAAAAAAAAATGCATTCTAACAACACAAATCAAGTGTACCTAAACAATCAAACAACTATCATTATAAAAAGTAGTTGACAATCAATCACCTGATCCACGCCACATCTCAAGTTGAGCATTTTCATCAAGGCCTTCTAGAAGGGGAATGTGCAACATAATGTAATGCATATTGTAAATACAAAGCTTCGTGCTACAAAAAAACCACCAATTCAGTTTCCAAAATTTAACAACAACACAAATATACAGTGAATAAGTAGATTGGCTTCACAATCAAATATCATTAGGAAAGAAAGAAGTAGGGAAAGAATAACAATCATGTTGGCCAAAGTAAACCTTTCTCTTGAGTAACATTCATCTTTGTCGTCTCTACAAATGGTGTTAGTATCTAACATAGGAGGACAAATTGATACATCAAGTAAAGTTTCTGGAATAAAGAAATTAAGAATATATAGAGAGAGAATCCTATAGTGTAGTCCACATAGGGTAGACTACACTTCAATTTTTTTGATATATATATATTATGTATAGGGAAGAGTTTATGCAAACCTCTAAAAAATTAGGAGGAAAAACTCCCAAAACCATGTCATTTCCATAAATTTCCACTAAAAAACATAACTTATTTTTAATGCAGGAATGATCCCATGGTGCTTTATTAAAATGACATGGTTTTGGAATATTTTTGTCCTACGTTTTTAGAGGTTTGGATAGTAAACACTAATGACTCCCATAAACAAATTGGAGTCCCAACTTCAAAAACACTGCTCTCCAATGAATAGTTTCAAAATCCAAGATCAAGCATGTTAATTATCAAATTGATTGAATACATCTAACCGGTTCATTGATTATACGAATTTAACACTGTTAAAAATATATGTTGGAAAATACAAGTCAAATGATTATAGATGTTAGATCAAGTAAATTGACATGCATGATCTATATTAATAGAAAATTAAATCTACTGGTTGGTTTTTGAAAATATTCATTGGAGGGTAGTGTTTTTAAAGTTAGGACTAATTTTTTTTATGGGAATTAGGACTAGTATGCACTATTCTCATATAAATACATATGTATATTTGTATGTGTGTGTGTGTGTGTGTGTGTGTGTGTAAACTCTAGATCTGGATTATGGCTAAAGCTTAGCATAGTATCTTTTGACTCCAAAGTTTTTGCAAGTTTTTGCAAGCTGATGTAGGTAAAATACCTGAAAGGTCAATACATCCTATTTGATAAGAAAATCATCAGAGAGAAAAAATGCAATTTACAATTCTTATTCAAGTATATAAGAACTGTAATAAGGAATATAAGGTAAAGGAACTAGGATTCTATGTTATTGTTATGCAAGGTACTTTGAATCAAAGCCAACATTAATAGTGGCAATGGATTTGTTAACCACAACAAACTAAGACTCTTTCCACAATGAAGGATGACTTGTAATTATCTAAGGAACTAGGATTTTATGTTATTGTTATCCAAAGCAACCTAAATTGAAGCTAGCCAAAATATTAGTACATTAGTAGCAATAGGTTTGTTAACCACACAACAAATTGAGACTTCTTCCACAATGGAGGATGACTTATATTTGTCTAAAGTGGAAAAAGAATATCACTAGAAGTCTAGAACATTGATGGGAGACCTAATCAACAATAAAATGATGAAACTATGGAACAAAAAGATGCACTTAGAACCCAAAATCCAATATATGATCATTAGAAACAAGTTAGACACGGAAACTGTAAAGCAATTCTGTAGGCATACCGAACATCAATATACTTCAAATACTTTGAGGCCAGCAAGTTTGACAAAAATTCAGCAGGTGTTTCAAAGTTAATTTGCAGATGGCGAAGATTATGAGCATCACAGAGAACAACATACTTGATCACATGAATACAAGTTAAAAAATAAAATAAAGCAACAAAAGATTTTAAAACAAAAAGAAAACTATAACAAACAAGGAAAACTTGATTGCAAATTACTGTTAAATAAACTTACAGTACTATGTAGTAATTTTTGGTAAATAGAGGTGTTAAACCTTCCCCCATCTCCCATCTTAACAAACTCCATGAATGTATCCAAAAAAACTTCCTAAGAACAAATTACACAAAGCGAGATATTAAGAATTTATTAAAAATAAAGATCACAATAAAAAGAAAGTAAAAGCTAACTTTCAAAGGTTCTTCAGGTTTCGATGACACGAAAACCTCAATCAGCAACCTAACAAACTCATTAAACTTCGATATCAACCATGTATAGTAAATCAATTTAGAATCATCCTTGGCAGAATCCTTGGAACATTGTCGTTTATTGGCAAAAAAAGACAAAGGGCATTTTTGAAGAACTATAGTGAAGAAGGCCTGGATAGAGAGGAGTGATTCAAGAACGAACTGAGATGGCAAGGATAGGAATATGAAAGTGAGGAAGAGAGGCAAGTTGTTGATGTGTGCCCTTGAGGAAAGGAGTTGCTGCCCAAGGTCTTTCACATATTTCAATTTTGTTGTCATTTTTGTTGCTAAGGTTGAAGCCATTGCTAAGAACTACAAGAAGCAAAAGTTGAAGGAAGGAGAAAAACTGCAAAATAAGAACCACATTTTTGTTAAGTTTCTCAAATTTTGCATTTTCAACCCAAAATGTGAAAGATGAGGTGGATGGATGTTTGAAAATGCTCAAATGTCCTCAATGATTGGATTTTTTGACAGACAAAATTACGAAGGCTTATTACTGTACTTACATTGTTCATTACAAAAGTGCATTAGTAATCCAAAATTGATCTACTTAGCCTATATGTTTACATTTTCCATTTTGCCCCTCAAAATTTACTGTAATTTATGGATTAAACTGCCTTTTCACCAAAAATTCCAAAGCCTTTACACCCGAAACCAAAAGCAGTTTACCGTACACTTGTGAATAGGTCCACAAGTGTACAAGGCACAGAACTTGCTTGATATATCATGTAAAATCCATAACCAATAAATGTTCACTAAAACTATTATAAAAATATCTTAAATAATCTCTAATCTAAAGTTGAAAAGCTAACCGCGTCAAATTATACATAAAAATCCAATATCTAAATCATCTAATTATCTATGTCTAAAAATCCAATAACTAGTATCAATCCCATAATAAATAAACTAGCCACATCACCTACCTAGATTCGATCTTGAATATGTCTAGTCTCATTACCAAAAATGGTAGACAAGAAAAACGACATGAGACAACTCAATAAGCAAAATTACCAAA